TAGCTACATGCTACCTATATGTAATTCCTTTCTAATATGTTTGCTTCAAGTTTTGTACGGCTTCATGTTTACCGAAAAACCGTGAAACCTCGATTTTCAGTGGTTTTCGAAAAATGCTTAAATTATGGAAATCAAGAGTAGGCCTTCCTAAGTCTGCTTTTGTAGGGGAACAAATATTACTATTTCAGCAAAAAGATATGAAAAAAAACCCTGTACATCGGATCCCGCCTACGGCGCCGGGTGGTAGCAAGAACGGTCCTGTCAGGGTCGGTCCTGTCAACGCTGTCAGGGTTCTTAGGCTGCGTTCAGACTGATTTCGAAATCCGGGAACAGGTTCAGCACAGCGCTCATTTCAAGCGCTGTCTCAGACAAATGACCGGAACTTCAGCAGAGCGCTTGCGGAAGTTTCGCCGGGTCACCTGCGGAAGTTCCGAAATGAGATCCTGCGGAAATTCCGAAGAATGCCAACCACAAGAGCAAAAGAGAACACCGAAGCTAGATTTGAACCTCACTCTCTTGACTGTGAGACCCACCTGCGATCCTCTACGCTACGGCTGACATGTTCGATAATGCACTCTATTTGTTGGCGAGGCAACATCACGAGGTAACACATTCAAAGACCTGCGGAAATTCTGGCAGGCCAAAGTGCTGCGGAACCTCCGGCATTTTTCGGAATTTGCGCAGGATTTTGAAGAAGGTTCTGCGGAAGTTCCGGTTTTCAACCAGTTTGGCATGAAAATCCCGCGGAAGTTCCGATATTCAACGTCTCATCTTTGGAATAGTGAGAAAAGTCCTGCGAAACTTCCGGTGATTTGTCTGAGTGTGCTGGGACTGTTCCCGGACTTCGGGATCTGTATGAACGCAGCCTTAGGGCGCCTTTTGAATCGAACAAAAACGACACGTCTGTCCGGACGACACGCCATGGAGACTGCCTCATGCTCTGCACCTACAACATGACAGTCTCCACAAACGCTGACCTCCACGCTCTTCTCGACGCTGCAGAGCACATCAAGTACCACGTTATCGCTCTGCAGGAAACGAAGTTCAGAAAGAAGACGTGCGACATATGAACAATGGGACATCATTCGTGGTAGGTTCCATCACGAAACGTGGAAGGCGTTGGCTTTGTCGTCCACCCATCTATCGTCCATCTTGCCGATTCGCATGAGAACCTATCACCTCGACTAACCATTTTACGACTGCGACCTCCGCATCAGAGGACCATCAGCATCATCAACTGCTATTCTCCAACATCAGCAGCTGACGAAACGAACTAGATGCTTTCTACGAAGATGTGGAGGTCGTCCGCAACGAAAAGTCCTTCTACAAGTTTGTTGTGGGCGACTTCAACGCGAAAATCGGGATGCTACCGGAAAAGATAGATAGGATCGGAAAGTTTGGAAAACGGCAACCGTCTCGTTGAGCTTCTCTCCGCCGCACGACTTTTCCATGGAAATTCCATCTTCAGAAGAAGACATCGCCGGTGGACTTGGGAATCGCCCAACGGAACGACTCACGCGGAGATCGACCACATTCTCACCAACCGAAGGTGGAGCTTGCTCGATGTCTCAGTAGTTCCATCCTTCTGTAGTGGCTCCGTTCACCGCCTCCTTCGAGCGAAGATATGATTCAGTCGAAAGCTAGAAAAGAAGGTCTGCCACAGTGCCACTGCAAGAAGGAATAATATCGTTTATGACGGTAACAGGCTGGAGGAGCTCATATCAAGTTGCGAATGGCCCATCGAGGAGGACCCAACGTACGACTGCTAGCGCTCTCTGAAAGGATTGCGAGCCTGCGGAGAGTGCGCCTCAATGACTTCTAAGAAAAACTTGGAACGCATTTCGAAGACCACCAAGGAAATGCTCGAAAGAAGAAGATTTTTGAGGCAGGATCGTAATGCAACCCATTTCAAGCGACTGATAGCCAACGCCAGTTGCAGAACAGCTTTGCAGGAAGATCTCAGGAAGCACAAGCAAGCCAAGATACTGGAAGAATCCGAAGGAAGACGAAGTCTCAAGAAGTGCCAAAGGGACCTCTGTGAATATCACGTACTCACTGGCTGCACTACTGAACGAAGACGGGACTCCGACTTCTTCCCGCTACAAGATGCAATCTATCGCGAAAAACTTTTACACCAAGCTCTTCTGCTCATCAACACCCGTGCCGATGCCCGTTGTTCCCACTGGAGAAGCACCACTACGAATTCTACCTGCTGAAGTGCGTATCGCGATACAGACCATGAAGACGTCCACGGCTCCAGGACCAGACCATCTTTTCGTCAAACTTCTGCGAGCCGGAGAACAACGTCTACACGAGATTCTCGCGTCGCACCTGACATCTTATCTTCAGAAGGGAAGCATTCCGACCAGTGGAGAACGTCAAGAACCGTCCTTCTTTCCAAAAAGGGTAAACGGAGGATCTTCGCATATCTAGGACACTGGATGAAGCCCAATCCCAAGAACAAGCTGGACTTCGCAAGGACTTAGCTGCATGGACCACATCCAGACGGTTTTTAGGGTCATAGGAGTCTACCGGGAGTACCGACTGCCTCTCGTCCTAACCGTCGTCGATTACGAGAAAGCCTTTGACAGCGTCGAAATTAACGCCATCCTTTCAGCGCTAGTCGATCAAGGAGTGAACCCAGCTTAGGACGTTCGTGAGGACGTTAGCCGACTGCTACAAGGACTGTATAACGAAATGCAGCTATCCTATCGCCCCCTGACCATCCCATTTAGGAAGGGGGGTCCGACAAAACGACACAATCTCGCCAAAGCCTTACGGATCACCTTGCAGTGGGTTATGAAGTCACTGGTCTGTCGAACCTTCGTTTTGTGGACGACATCGTTCTCTTTTCGAGCAGTATCACTGAAGCAGAGACGATGCTGAAGGAACTGAACGAAGTAGAGAAGAGATTGGGTTGCGAATAAATCGGAAGAAAGCTCAGTTCATGAGGAACGCTCTTTGCAAAGATACAGAAATGGAAAGGGAAAGCACACCATCATAGAAACGTCTTCTTACGTGCATCTCGGACGTTCGATGAACATGGAGAACGTCTTGAGCAAAGAACTTAACAGGAGAAAAAGAGGAGCCTGGCCCGCCTTCGGGCCTCTGAAGGAAGCCAACGACCAACTGACGGACCCGGGCTTTGTCCCACCTGTTCGACTCAACCGTTCTCCCGGCGCTCTGTTACGCAGCTGAGACTTGGGCTGATTCCGTAGCCACGTTGAGAGCTTTAAGGACCACCCACAGAGCGTAGTCTTTTGAAGATGACCCGACACAAACGACATCTTGTCGGGGTTTTCAGTACGGATATGAGAAGAATGTCCCGTTTTCGTGACCCAGTGGATTATGTTGCGAAAGCGAAGCATCGGCCGGTCACACTATGAGAAGTTCAGACAACAGATGGACACTAAGAACGTCGGAGTGGATTCCTCGCAAAGCAAAACGTCCCCGAGGAAGACCTCCAACGAGACGGGCAGAAGTTTTCGTGGAACGGATGGACTAGCTGAAAAATAAGCTGGATACGATTTTTGCACGTGGAACTCGTTGACGCAGCCACCGACGTCGACCAAGAAGATCGTGGATGTCTGAAGCGAGGGCAGGGAGAAATGGAAACTTCTGTGCTGGGGCCCGCACGTCACGTGAAGCCGGGCCATCTAAGTAGTATCTAAGTAAGTAAGTAAGTAATAAATTAGACAATGTCGTTGTTCCTTGCTGCTTTGTGCAGAATAACTCAGGTTATTGCTATATCAATTTTCTAATTATTCAAACGTAGGAAATGAACGCAATTCCAGTGAGGAAGCAAATAATGAAAAAAGACTCTGAACAACATGCTGTTCAAATCGTTACGCTTAGAAAGGCATCAGTATAACATTTTTGCTGAAAGATTCTTTTTTCGACAACAAATATAAGTTTGCAAGTATATGATCATTTCTAAAATTGCTGGTGCTATACGTGACCTTATAATTTTCAAAGACTTTGACATCTCCAGAAAAGAAGACTTCGTTTGGTTATACATGGAAAGATAAGCACAAACATGCCCAAATTCAAGACTGACCACACTGAATGTGCACTCCTTGGCAGAACCACATATCATGTAAAGTTTTGGCTTGCTCTGCTCTAAAACTGTTCATCAACCCTGGACTTGTTTAAGTACCGACTCCCAAAGTATGCTCAGCTTGAAAGGTTGTAAATTCACTTCATTAGAAGATAATCATTGCTGATAAATATTATGTTGCCAGACTTTTGTAAGCGTTCATTATGTGATAAGTGCACGTCGTCAACATCATTCCCACAAAAGCAGAGGAATGGCAAGCTGAAATGCTAGAAACGTTAAGCACTAAAGTCTTATCATGTAGGTCCGGCCAGAGTCAAGTGTGGGGTATGGGAGCCACACCGGGGGCGTAATGAGGGGGTCAAAGAGGGAAAGCGTCCGTAAACGAGGTCATACTGATGGCAGCAATAAAGTGATATTGGCTAACAATATTAGCGCGTTATGTAAAATACAAGCACATTAATGTATAAACTAACTAGCGACTCATCTTCATACTTATAATAAGCATTGCAAAATAAGCTCTACCAATCATAACAGTATCATTTTCCTAATCAACATGTCAAATAACGCTTGTGGATCACGCTTTAGTGAATTATACGGTGTCTAAATCCTGAGCCACCTAAGCGAAATGATCACTTTCGGACACGATTAACTTGTTTTGAAAATGAGATGGCTAGCTCTTTCTGTACTCGGTGTGAAGCGCTACTTTGTCGACATCAGAAACTCACTTCGAATTCACTTCGAAATCCGAGCAAATCTCATATCGCCGTCAACCCTGCCCTCAGTCCTTTCTCCTCACACCACCGCCACTAGAAGAGACTAAGCGTGACATTTTATGCTCACGTCAAAGTCAAATACACGTGCAATTTTCCGTGTCATTTTGACATTTCTTGATAATCAGTCGTTTGCATCTGCATCTGAAATGTTCTAACTGCACAGTCACTGATTGAAAAACAGTTTATTACAGACGACGCTGCTAAATGTGTCATGGAAATAAAATTGAGTACTACCTAACAAATGACTTGCTCTCAGGCATTCGACAACCTTGTCAACAAGGTCAATGAACCCGAACACATCGCATGTATAGAGATTGTTCAAATCGGGTTGAATGGAAACATGATTTTGTTGGGCATCAAAAATAATCATTACATACAAGCAATACAATGGAATAAGTCACAGCCAACAACTATTGGTTCTTCTCCAGTTCCTTGCGTAGAACTTCGAAATCAGTTACATACCAATCAGCTCGTGCGCGAACCGCTTCTCGGATCTGTAACCGGGTCGCATAAGGTCAACATCGAGATCGAAACTTGTTCAGTAAAACACACCTAACTAGGCTGTTCTGACAAGCGCTTACCTGATTTCCACCAAACCCGATGAAAGCATCAGCCGGTGGTGATGCTTCTAAGTCAGTAGCACCATCGCCAACCATAACTAGATTTTTGTAGCCTTGTTTCTTGAGTAGACCCATAACAGCTGGTTTCCCTACCTAAAAACAAAGCAACCCATTATTGTAGACTGCAAATCTTTGCATCCGCTTAACAGATCACTTTTGACGTGATTTTACCGTGTTTCCATATCACCTCACTCACATAATTTCAAAATTATAAAGAAATGTGTCTCTGCTTCAAACATCATTTCCCCCGTAGTTACGTATCGTGCTAAAATGGATTCAATCAGTTCTCACATCCTTGCTCCCAGAATCGCTAGTCAGCTCGTTTTCATCAAATCCCGCATAATTCCTATTTTTGTCGAACAAAATCTCATTAGCGTAGATCCGCTTCCGATCGACACCTGATATAAACACCATAAGTGGTACTCTTTCTTTGAAACACTCAGATCCTCACCTAGAATGTCAGCCACAGGGCGGATGAGCCTGCGGAAGCCACCGGAAACAAGATATACATCTGTACCACGTTTGTGCAATGCGTTGACTAGCTGTCGTATTCCAGGCGTTAGCTGAAATTTATGCTGTCAATTAGGTTTGGGCAGATTTATCTTATCAGCGCTGCAGTGGGGAAGGGGGGATTTTCTGATAAAGGTGCATGGCGCTAGCCACGCACTCCGTAGAAATTTTGGCAGCCATGCCCCCATGCTAAATTTGGTTTTTAAAATTTTTTAAAAATATATTAATTATTTACAAGCATAAACAAATCGCCTGCACATTTTTATAACTCATATAAGTAACCTCCAAAAGGTTCGCGACCCGCTTCCCCCTCCCCCCTTCCCCTCCGCATCGATAAGCCACTGCAGCAGTGTATCATGTATATGTCAGATGCGAAGTCAGGCAGTTTTAAACATTGAGATTTCAGCAGATTACGGTATGCAGTAGAAGGATCCCCAAGTAATTTATCGTATGTAGTCACATTTTTAAACAAGAACCTGTTTATAAGCTACAAAACAATAACATAACCCACTAAAAACTTATTAGTCAAGGTAGCCGCCTGGAATAGAATTGACTGTCAAAAATGATATAAAACGTTGACTTGAAATTTATTATCTTAGCGTGCAATGCTTTCTGTGATGTGAATTGACAAAGGAAGTGCAGTACGCCATTATGATAACATCACTCCACTAAGCCTTCAGCAGTGAAGATGTGAAAATGACTCCCAATCTGGTGAGCAATAAACTTTCTTTTCTATACGGACACAACAAACAAGCATTTTAAAGGGGCCGTATTTGGTGATTTTCTGATTGAAAAATGTCATTGTTCAAGAAAAAACGATGAAAAAGTAAATATGGTTAGACTAGTGGATCGGTAATCGGTACGACCGCTTTATGGCAGCAGCAGAAGAACGAAATTATGGTACATGGCTTATTTAAGCGAAAAATTAGCCTTTGAGCCTTTGGAAAACTTAGTTCTTTTCAACATTGCTATTTTCGCTTTTGCTGTTGAATGCAAACAAAAGATGGTTCCGTATCTAGGCAGTAAGTAAGAGGCAACTATAATATCCTTTTGATTTAAAATGCACGTGACTTTGTAAAACTAGGTAAGAATCGAGATACAAGCTTCAAAATAACCTGAAAGGAATTTGTAAGCGGCCTTGATAAGGCACACGAATTTCGATGCAGTTTTGCAGCTAGCTGTTTTGGTCGGGTACGATTTGCTGATTACACTTTGCTGACAAGAATCACTATTGCTCAAGTCGGAGAGAAATCAGTTACAATGGTTGACGAGTAAAGACGACCGTCTAGGAGCAAATCAAAACAAGACTAGCGAAAATCTCTCAGAAATATTGCCTCAGTCGTATTTCTCAGGTGGAGTTTGTAGTAATCTTGATGAAAGATGTTCACAGTATAAAATCTCTTGGAATCGTCTACCAATCTTGCTTTTACTTTAGCTCAATATAAAACTCCTACTTCTGGTCACTGGTTTTATTTCTTTTGTTCCTTACTTAATTCTGGAAGTGTTCAAGGGGATTCCTGTCAAAATCAATGTTACCTTAGGTTTAGTCTCATTAGCATATGCTTCAAGCTGATCGTAGGTTGGATGCATCACTTCCAGACGGGCTCGAAGTGCATGGCTAAAAAGGATGCTCGAACTTATGCTGATTGGTGATCATAAAAACCCGCTAGCTTTGATACTGATAGTAATTATGAGCAAAAGACTAACCGAAATCGTGCATTACCATTCATGGCTTGCTTAGTGACATTGGCAACAGCTTCGCCTACACCGAGGTACTCGGCAAGTTCATCTATAGCCTCATCCTGAACAATAACACTTAATCATCAAGTGCAATTTCGTATTGAAAGACTACCAACCTGGCAAACAGTGGAATCGACATCAAAGGCGACGGCATCGGCATTACGCCAGATTCGTCGAGTTCTTTCCTCTGGTGTTTCCATAGAAGTACATTCTGTACCGTGTGTTGAAAGTGCTGCAGCAGCAGGTCGAGCAGCAACTCGTATCATTGTCAAAAGCCTGCAAGTAATGTGGAATTTATTTTGAAAATTTGTCATACTTTTATGTAGACGATATTAACCGTATTACATATGAAGGAAACTGAGCGCAGTCTAGACCAAATCTAACCTCTAATTCAACTGGCTTGGCGGCTTTGAGGCGGGGCTTTGTGACCTAATTAAGGACGATCGCGCCCACTGCACGTCTGCGTCTCTCCCGCGCACGTGTTCTCTGATCATCACCTAGCCCTAATTATGTCATCACGAAGCCCCGCCTTCCAGGCACCAAGCCAGTTGAATCAAAGGGTATAATGTAGATGCTAAGGAAATATCTCTTTCAAACTAATCATCCACTCAAGACGTAAATCAATGGGATGTGAAAAATTATATGAAGGGATATTTTCAAATACAAAGAATCCCTTACAAGTATATAACACTACGAAATAATTTGCATAGTAGAGTGAGCAGCCACATGAAATTTGGTTTTGCAAAAAATGATTTCGATTCTCAAATACTAGTGTCAGCTAAATTCTACAAGTTTTCAAGGGCAGTCACTTTTCGTAGCGTATCACGGTCAAGTGGTGTGAACTGACGTGATGGTCCGAAGTGTAGTGTCGACTTCGCGATTTACTTATCTAGCGAAGAGCATTGGGTGATTAGTCATCTGTTTTTGTTCGACTCGCAAAAAACGGTGATAAATTTGTGTAAGAGGGAAAATAAACTTTCCACCAAAGCATCGCTATGCAGCACTTTGGTGGGCTATGGTTAAGAACGAAAAATCTGTTTACGAGGGGAAGTCTCAATGAAAACAGCATCTTGAGTTATACATACAAAATAAATGCATTTCCATATTAAACATATGTATTTCTTAACTGGATGGTATAAATGATCAAGAAGATGGGAAAGATCTTCAGAGGTCGTGTTCTATCAGAATAAGCTCTCTGCTATTTGAACTCGTCCGAATCAGTCTCTCAAAAAGGATGCCATCTGAAAGTGCTGAACGAGAATATAGACTCTCGTACAGCCAGCATTCCAATCTCAGACCAGAAAATGACGCCAGTTCGAACTGGATCGGAGAGTGAGACAGCGATGCAGACTAGCGATTACATCAGCCTGTTGAAAATCCGCTGTTCGAGTGTGCAAAGCGAAGATCGCTAGGAATAAGATCAACGGATAACCGGGCAATAGTTTTCTAACCGATCCTGCTTGATCAAAATCCAAACTTAGGACTGACTAAGGAAACAATTTGTAAGGCCTACAGATGCTCCGAACATTTTTTGTTCAGTAATTGGTACCTCTGGAAAGGACACCAATGAGAATTGCAACATAAAATCTGTTTTGCTAGAATTTATTTTGCAATGAAAGAAATCCGCGAAGGAATAAGAGACTCCAATTTTTCCATTTTGCGCAAATATGAGAAATTTTGGGTTTTTTTTGGTCAGAGACTTTTGAAATGGCAGATTACAATTTTATTTATAGTCGCTAAGTGATAGGCTTTTCTGTATCCAAATACCAAATTGCTTTTCTCTACATCCATTAGAGCATGAAAACGAAGCTCAGAAAGTCGCAAAATTGAGCTTTTGGAATTCTAGCCATGTTGGGGGATAACTGTCCCTTATTGACGCTTCCTAACTCTAAATAGTTGAAATGCGTTAGAAAAAGTTTTGAACTACTTACCTACAAAAAATCATGGATAAAGAGCACCTAGGAAATTTTCTATGAGACTTTCCGAGCCAAAACGATATTTTTTAGCCAACCTAATACTTCAAACTTGGTGAGAATTAAGGAGGCCTGGGTCTGATGTAAGAAAACTTTGAAGGAAAATGAGCGGAGGAACACATATAGCCAACTTGCAAGTTAGAATTCTCTTTTACGAAACTGTTCCAGATTAAAAAATGCAAAGGATGAAGAGTGGAAAAATGTTTTGAAGTCAGATATGAAGGAGTTGACCACCAGAGTCAAGGTAAATGAAACATCTCGATATACTTCGGGTTTCCGGAAGGAAGTTCTTCTAGAACCACAGATGAGTCAGAGGATGTGCACCACAATCAGCGACTTGCAGCTTACCTATATATAGAAATTGTTGTCGGGAAAAACAACAAAATTGTTGAAAGTCCGAGGAACATTCAACTAGACTTGTAGCAGAACAACTTTCTAATTTACGAAAGGAACCATCATAAGAAACAAATGCGCTCTAATTGGAACAGGTTAGGAACACAGCATACACAAAGAAGCCACCAAAGATTCAAGCAGCAATTAGAGGTTGAAAGCGTTCCATTAGAGAAGAGCTATGAAGAGTTCGCTTCTAAAAAAACTAAGGCGCCGTGATTCCTAAAGGTGCATTGAGTGGAGGGTTTCCCCGTGGCGGCTGTTGACAGCGAAGGTGCACTTTGTGAACGTTATAGATGCGTGGGTATTTTTGGTGTCGAATGCTTGCTGAACTGAAAAAGTCAGACCAAGTATGAGGCTTATTCTTAAAAAAAGATAAAAATTGGAGGGTAAAGGAATGGCTCAAAAGAGGCAGATTTTAGAAATCTATAGTGAACACATAAAACCTGCCACGGGGTTAGCAGAAAGAAAAGTGTTTGACCTCAGACGTAGGCAATATACATGAAGTAGATATGTACACGACCGCTAATCGTGCTCTCCCCCGCTTGGCACCCGGGGCGAGGAATCCCACCCTCTGTCGCAAACAATCGAACGGAGCAAGCACGGCCCTCACACGTGCATAACACGGGCACACACTTCAATACTATATTGCAATTCTTGAAGACACAAATTGCGCTGATCGGCTGCGGAAGGGTGCCTCTGAAATGGCGGGGATTGCCTGAAATCCAGTTCCCGCCAAGAGAACAAAGTCGCACTCTCAAATATTTCGTGTACAGGGTGGCGTTTCGTCGACAAGCTTCGCCTACACAAAGAAAGATGGAAGTAACTGATAAGTTGGTGAACAGTTTGTACTGCAAACTTTGTGACGAAACACTACTTCGTTGCTGTCGAAGAAAATGTCATGTCAATAATGTAAGATACTAGCGCTCAAGTTCAAAAATTTCATAAATGAAACACCTCAAAGAGGAACAGAAAGCAAAATTCAGTCACTCCACATGATAGTGATAGGGTAGGGCTAATGATCTATGGAATAAAAATGAACTACTGGCTAGTAGTAATGTTGGACCAAAATTCCGAGAACAATTGCTCCTCACCATGTTCATGTATAGCACATACAAAAATCTCTGAACTTAACTAGCAAGTAGAATACTTTGCGTTGGCATCCCTTGTTGGCGCTTTGTATAAAATAACATTGGAAAAAGTCTAGAACCAAATATTTCTATCTAGATTCACACCTTCCTTTGGCTTGCAAAGGAGATTTGCGATAACATGTCACGGTAATTCTAATCGCTAGATTGGTAAATAAAGCTCTTTGAACGCTGTTATCTACGCTATTTGCAGCGGCGAACGCTGTGTAAAGAGCGACAAAGTGAGTGGGGTTATGCTAGCTACGGACCGCTATGCGCAAAACAAAAATTTTTCGTACATATAGGGAGAAATTTCCACAGTAAATTACCCATACTTTAGGCGACTCAAGATAGTTGAAGTGGACAAATGAAGGTCATCGCTATAACAGTCAGAAAAGGGTACGATAAGGAAAGAGCAGCTAAAAAGGCGAAGAGAAACGAAAAGAGAATGCAAGGTCTTACAAACTCTAGGCGACAAGCACTTAGCACATCGGGTCTTGGGTCACTAAACGCAACCAGTTTTGAGCTGTCAAAAGGAGACCAGCAGGAGATAATGTCAGAATGAGGTCACCTGCTACTATGCTAATGCGTGTTGGAAAGAGTTTCGTTTCTTATACAAAAATCACCTAAACTTTACTCGCTAAATTATTATTTAAAGAGAATCATAAAAAAAACGGCTGGATCCATGTTGGCAACAGAAGTTCCGTTTTTGATAGGAATTCTTTTTGTGCGATTTTTGGAGAAGAAAAATATTGAGTTCATCTTCTGTACTTGGAGAACAACCATTTCTTAACTTTTTTGGATCTCTTCTTTTCGGGATCATATCAATCCCAGATAACTACTGAGGACGGATGCATACTTTCCTGACTTCAAAAAAATTTTTTTTTGATATATCAGTGCTTGTCAATCTTCCTTGAAGGTTTTTTGAAAAATATCGAAGAGTGAAGCTCATTTTAACTCAACCAAATTTCTTGGCACGTTACGATTCGATTACTCGAGTGAATTACTCCTGAGGAAAACGTACCAGCAAAAACTTGAATTTTCTTTTACTTTTTGGGTCAATTTTGGGTCTCGGAGCGCAGCGGGTGAGTCCGCCCAAATGACCCATAAGCTCCAAAGTTGAAAGTTCAGTTAATTTCATAAGTAAGTTAAGTTCATGAACAACAAGGACTGCGCTCTTAGAACTGTGTACCAAACATCTTTAGCGATTTAATTCTCAATTTACAAAGCAATTTCTTCGCTTTTGATGCGGAGTTGGCACTAGTAATAGACAATCTCTTGTATGCGTTGTTCCGTAGAACCCTCTTCCTCTAATAATGTTCGCTCGAATACAGGCATAAAAAATTAGGTCTAAGTGTTTCATTGTTTGTCAAGCAACACGTGCTATTATGCACAGATGTGAAAGCCATACAAATAAAATGCACATAAGAAGTGCTGCTTGACGATTACGATCGTACAACGTTAGCAGCAAAGAGAACCTGATTGGAGTGGATGCCATTGCGATGAGCGCGGAAAGTGTATGAGAACTGAAATTGTGGTGAAAGGGCTAATGTGAAAAGTCACGTAGGCAAACAATGGGTAAATATTGACTGATAGAGCAGACATAGACCGAGCGTATTACCGTGAAAGAAAGAAAATATAAAAATGCAGAAATAGAGCGAGCGCTGCATGGTGAAAGAAAGGAATATAGATGGGGATAGCTGATGGCTTTTTCTCCCTCCTGTCTGGTTTCTCGAATCTCTTTTACAGCAGCTGGGAAAGAGGAAAAAAGTAAAGTAAAATTGTATGAAATATGGTTATTATTCGACGCGTATGCAAAAGGGTAGGGGAATGAAGTAGTAGAAGAAGCAATCGATGTTGCCTAGAGCCATTAGCGCTATGTTGAGTGTAGCAAATCTATACAAACGAATGACGCAGCGAGACGGGGGTTTCCCCCGTTATCCTCACACACCCCGTCGATATTCAACAATAAGCAGTTGCTCATCGCTGAGCCACACGAAACTCTGCCTATCGTCCCCCGATTTTTCAGTTTTTGATGAAAAAGAAAGAGAGGAAACATGCGATGGGTTATTATCAGTTGGGTGCCGAGAGGAGGGGTGGGGGGAAAGGCGCCCTTCGCAAAATTTTTGAAAAATACTTGTTAGAAAGATGACTTAGAGTGACTTTTCTATATTTGTAATCAATTAGAATCATTTTCAAAAAATTTTGGAATTTAAAATTAGTTTTGCAAAAAATTTT